CAAGTTACACCCCCTCGAAGTGGCGAAATTTGCCAGGTTGCCATTTGGCACGTCTATCTTTGCAAGCTTGTAATTTAGAATTTTTTTCAATAAAATTTAATGGTTTTTCATTTATTAGATTTGGCACGTCCTGAATTTTTAAACATATTTTTAAACATATATTGATTATTTTTAATTCCGTTAAAAAATCAAATAAATATAATAAAATTAAAATTCTAAACAAACATAAAAAAAATTAAGTTTCAAATTAAAAAAGATATTCTGCGCAGAACCCTTTGTTCTACAACATATTAAGATTTGGAATTAGCGATTCTTTGGTACTGAAATTTACGAGCCGGAATGGAATGCAAAACTGAAATAACCTACTACTTTTTCCGTGATCTCATATATTTTACATTGGCGAAACCATCCGGAGTCGCTTCTGGAGGCCTCAGCGGGCAGCTACAAATATCGGTATGCTTCAAAACGTTGAAACTTTGTTACAAAAGATGTAATTTACTATTATAATACTAACAAATTATTATTCTGCAGAGTTGTCAAAAGTAGTCTTTATTCCAGCATTTTCTACTTTCATTTTTTATTCTGTCAAAACTATGCAGCCAGTATACATTTTAGAGTCTAAGAACTCACTGCTTTACCTGGGTAACTCTTAGATAAAGGTTCTTCTCAAAACTTTCCATGTTTCCGGAGTACCACAGCACGTAAGTTCAAAGAAGAACAACAAGTCAAACTTCTGTTTACTTGTGCGATCAAAACTTCGACGAGTACAAGATGGAGACAATTCTAAATACAAGAAGCAGAAAACGATGAAGTGAAGACTACCTCTTACAACTTTACGGAATAATAATTTGCTAATATTACTATTGTAAAGTACAACTTTGGTAACAAGATTTCAACGTCTAAAGTATACCAAATATCTGTAGCTGTCCGTTTCGGCCTTCAGAGACTGCTGAGAAATGAAAATACTTAAATACTGTCGAATAAACTTCAGCAAAATGCCAGTTCTTCTGGTAGTCCCTTCTTCAGCTGTTCTCTGTTTGTGCTTTTATAGTGCTGCATAGAAGAAGAAAAGTGTTTCATCAAAATCTTATCCTGCAGTCACGAGACACCAGGCCAAAACGAAGATGTGAATCAAGAAAATACTGAATCCCGCTGCTCGTCAGAGTAGTATTGAGAAAAAAATTTCACCGTTTTCATTGGATAAAGTAATTTGACGTAAATTTTAAGGTTCATGTGCGCAGATGAGAAACAGTTTTGTGCGAAACAAAAGACGTATTTAACGGTTAAAGAACATTTAAAACACATATGGCTGCGAATACGTAGAATTGACGCAAACATTATGTCGGTAACCGCCAGAAATATTGGAATAACATACTGTCTGCAACAGAACAGAAGCTAAAAATTGATTAACCTTCTTAGTGCTGGTAATTCTTGTGTTGTAACAAATTTTGAGCAATAAAAAATTTGGCTCTAAGCTGAGTTACAATTTTTTAAGTGTTTATTAATTTTGTTGAAACACCTCAAGTAGCGGACTGAAGAAATATCTCATAAAAACCAAATAAAAATTCTTTAAAAACTTCCACCGAAATAGAGTGATTCATACGTAAAATTTGAAAGTGCTACTTCTTACTGTACGAAGGATTTCTAACTGAAATAAGCTAAGAATGTTTTGAAACTCAAACGCTCGCTTACTTCTTCTTGAAAGATGCAAGAAAGTTTAGTGAAACTTTGAAGTGAAGTTATAAAATTATAGGTCAAAATAAAACTTACATCAAGAATACCGAAAGTTGCTGTACTAAGGGCAGCTGTGCAGTGATCGCAAACTGCCTAAACTACAGAAGCATTGTATGATTTCAAAATGCCTCAATTAGAAAATAAGGGAGACGATAAAACAAACTTAGAACTTAAAAAAGAGGTGAGAAGAATGATAAAAACCATTCAGGTACTCACTCTTTCAAAATTCAAAAGGTTTGAATGTTAGTCATTTTTTGAAGTGAAACAAGAAACACCTTCTTAAACAGGTCCGTAGTTTTACAGAAAAAAATTTTCCGGTTAAGTAATTACTGTGTATGTGGTGCCGCAAAGCTCAAACGTGAAAGGCACTGAGATTCAAAATTATTTTTTCTTCACGGCAACGAAGTCTCACTACTAAAGCTTTAAACTAAGACAGTTTGAAAAACGTTTAAATTTTCTTGTTTTTGTGCTAAAGAGTAAGAAAATGATGAAATAATTCATGAACTGCTCTTAGCAACTTGAAATTCCGAGCTACAGGTAATTTAAAAACATCGAAGAATATGTCAAAGCGTCTTGTTCATATGTACAAACCCAGAATTATTTAACGGCGTTTCTGAAAGAATCCTAAATCCATTACGAATTCAAATAATCAGTTAACTTCTATAATTCAAATCCAGGAAACTCCCACATCCTATAAAGCAGCCTCTCCGCTATACATTTAAAAAATATTCGTACGCCACGGTCGTCCTCAAGAGCCAGATATGCAGAGATCAAAAGCAAAACCCTCAAAGACTCCACCGACCTTCCTATCAAATTTTTATGGTAAATCTATCGCTTGTAGTGAAGGCTACAAGAACATTAAGCAGCAATCCAAATCCTAATAAGCAATGAATTTTAACAGAACACACTTAATTAAAAAATGCACACGAGCAGCTAGACGCAACAAGAAGAACACTGTAAAATCATATACTCTTAATTGAAATCAGATGTTTGGATTAGCCTACACTCTTCGAAAAAAAAAAATAAATAAAAAAAAATAAATAAAATAAAATAAAATAAAATAAAATAAAATAAACGTTACAGAACAATTATCACAAAAATAAAGTAATATTGTCCAACAGGAAGCATCTTCTAGAAGATAAACAACTAAGTTTTTAACTCGATTTCATAATTATTTTGCAATTGTTACTGTATTTTGTTACGTAATTTGTAATTCACTGCTCAACAAAAAACAAACAAGTAAAACTGCTTATTTAAAAATTTTTAGTCGAAGACAGACGAATGCAAAACTGTAGCAAATTATCACGTTCATTACATAACAGGTATAATTTAAAGTATCCAGCAGATGCGAGAAAACAGTAAGAATAAAGGGCTATTAGTATTCGTACTATTAGTACGGTCCTACAGTGTAGAAAAAAAAAATTTACGCAACTCCAGTATTTTAGTGAGTAACCAGTGTCCTAATGGGAGCTGGGATATACTATACGTCTATGGAAAAAAACCCCATTAACAAATCCTCCAGACATAAATATGCTGATTAACCGACCTAACATGCAGATGACCTCAGAGCGAAAAGTCCTTAAAAGTATGACTTATTTGCCGCTACCTTAACCTATAGCTACTTCAACAATAACCTAAAAATGCAGCTTTTAAAACTACAGCTACTAGATAATATTAAATGAAATTTCTACCCATCGATGAAGAGAGCAAATGTCAATTAAAATACTATCACCGTCTCCAATCACTTTCTGCCTAATATAGATTCAAATTTCTACACAACTACTCAAAACCACCCACTACAATCCTCGTAGCGGCTTAAAGGCCCTTCCATTCATTTTTCCTCTATATCGATAAAAAAACTACCAATTTTAGCTGACTTACCAATACTGTTTTATTCAGTACGGCCGTTCCTAGTACCAAAGCGCTCTCAACCAGCTGAATGCCAATAAGATGTACATATTCAAAAGCGCTGTGCTTCGGGGCATAAACCTCAAGCCTCCGCAGAAAACTCACAGGAACCTGATCTAAACTGCTCGACTGTCAAGCAGCAAAAAGGGGATTCAAGTAGTAAAAAAGCATTTTACTTCTCGTACATGACATAACTTTCCCAAACATGACTTTACTTTTCCCAATAAACTAGGTGACACCCAACGAAAATGATAGAGAAAACAAAAAAATACAATTAGCTTACTTCCAGCTGCAATATATGCTTCCTTCGATCCAAAAATAGAATTTGGACTCTGCTGGATAAAAAACGGACATTTTTTTCCATAAGCAGATCTGAAACACATATAAACAAATAAGTAAATAGAACGGGTATATATATATATATATATATATATATATATATA